AGCGCTGTTTTATATCTTTTCAGGTTCATGCAGAACGATGTACAACCAAATGGTACTCGATTATGACGGCTGGGTTAGGGAAAATCGTTCATTTCATGAAAAAAACAAGAGATAAAATAATCATTTGTACATTTTTCAAATGTTTTTTTTTTGTGGAAAATTGAACAAAAAATATTTATTTCGTAATGTAATATCCTATCGATTGGCGTATTTTGATTTTATTTTCATTTATAAATGACAAAGTTACAAGTGTCAAAACCTAACACTATTTCACCACACATATTTTTTAATTTGCACCCCAGTATAGTCGACAAAGACGTAGTTCTACGTCAAAATGGTTTGGTCATAGTTTCATGGACGGCTATGGATCAGAGGAAATCCTTGTACAATTTAGAGGAAATATGGCAAAATAGGCCATTTCCCATTATTTTCTATCCATGAAACAATCACCATAAGATTTGTTTGTTTTTGGATGGTTGTAGCTAAGCCGGATTTAAGCGTATGCATTATTTCTACGGACATCTGCTGCTGTCGGTCTTCACTTGACAACAGCTTTGACTGAACTGAACAACTCTTCATTATTATGACTGTATGAAGATTTGTTTTTCAGGAAATCCAGATGATAATTCCTGAGTTAGTTTGAACAGCATTTAGAAGGGATCCTAGTAAAAAAATCTATCCATACATTTGTTCTACCTACTTCCATGGAAATTCTGTGGTAAATCCCATGAGAGATCTGAGGAGAAATCAAAAGAGTTTGAACTCAAAGCTGTTACAGGGTCCATTCATTCGAAGGTTTTTCAGTGATGCATTCCAAAGTGATTCTGACGACAGTTATGTAGGGATTGTAATGAAAAGTCCATGTTCATTTTAAGAAGAATTCCATGAGAGTCTTTGTTGTTGTATTTAAGAGGTTTTACATGTTTGTCAATGAGAGCTCAAATGGAATTCTTTTGGTAATTTAAAGTGATTTGTTTGGAATAAAGCTCGATTCAAAGTAAATCTGGACGCACGATTTAATACACCACCGCGTCCCTGGTGGTTGGAACAAAAAACGTTTGACAGGCATTTGTTGATGTTTCATTGACGAAGAATTGGTGAAAAGTTTTTCTCGATTGATCGACGCATCCCGAAATTACGGATCATGGAACTTGAGAAAAGAAAATTAACATCTAGAGAACCCTTCATGGTTTGCCTCAAAAATAGCAAAAGTGTTAAAGTTCCCAAAGTCAACGGTGAGTCTTGTAATCAAACGTTACAAGGATACTCTGAGCGTGGATAGAGCATAGCGCATCTATAATAAAAGTGGCACTAGGGACTAAGAGCTGAGGAGAAAGGTGTTGAGGTACGTGAAAAGCAACCCAGGTGTCTCCATACGTGATAAGGCAAAGAAATACGATTCCAACTTTTCCACCGTGCGTAACATCCTTTCAAGAGAAAGATATAAGTCTTTTTGTGCCAGTAAAAATCCAAATCGCTCCCTGAAACAAAATTTAGTGGCCAAAAAGCGAGCACGATTACTATACTAACGAGTTTTGACGAAAATTGATGGCTGTATTTTAATGGATGACGAAACATATGTCAAAATGGATTATAAACAAATACCCGGACGAAAATTTTACCTGGCAACTGGTCATGGGGATGTCCCTTCCAGGTATAAATTTGCTTTTGCTGATAAGTTTGCTCGGAAACTAATGATTTGGCAAGGAATCTGCAGTTGTGGCCTTAACACCAAGGTTTTCATCACATCTCACACAATGACTTCGAAGGTTTACATTAAAGAGTGACTGAAAAAGCGGATTTTACCCTTCATTCGGCAACACAAGACCAACGTTATGTTCTGGCGGGATCTAGCCAGCTGCCACTACTCTAAGGAGGTACTAGAATGGTATGCTGCAAACAATGTTAATTTCGTCGCCAAAGAGATTAATCCTCCGAATTGCCCTGAGTTCAGACCGATTGAAAAATATTGGGCATTTGTCAAGCGAAAACTTCGAGGATGCGGCAAAGAAGTGACAAATGGACAACAAATGCGTTTAAAGTGGAAAAAGTTCGAAGGTACAGTGTCACCAGCGACTGTGCAGATTATGATGGCATCGATCACAAGTAAAGTGCGACAGTTCGTTCGAAACGGTGAAGTGTAATAACTTGTTACATATCGCTTGAAAGCTGAATAAATACCCTTTTGTTTGACGTTTTGATCAACCGTGTATGTTGTTTAATTCTTGAGTTATGATCACTTGAATGCGTCCAAATTTACTTTGAATCGGGCTTTATATCAAAGGAATAAATACTGAGGATAATTCAGTCGGGTGCATTATAGTAACTGCAAGAAGCATTCCAACAGATTAAAAATTGATTAAGAGGAGGATTGTTTGAACAGTTCCAAGGTAATTCTGAGAAGAATTTCAAGAAAATCGAATTTTGATGATTTTTCAAAAGAACTCTGATGAGATTTCAAATACTTAGGAGAGTTTCAACGGAGTTCCGCGGAAAACCACATGGAAATACTGAAATGAATTGCAAGGTTATTCTAAAAGGTGTACCAAAACACTTTTGGGGATTTTTCCAAGCGAGCAAAATGACGAATGGCCAAATAATTGCTGCCATGCACACTTAGAGTAAATCATGTAAATTTAGGTGTTCTTATACTGACATATACGAGCGTCATTTTTGACATAGAATTGAGTCATAACAGACGCAAAATTCAACTCAATCAAACGCAAGGGTGGGATGTGGCTGTCAAATACGAACAATCGTCGCCTACCTCATATAACTGGTTCCAAACGTAAACAAGCTATAAGAAACCTACATGGTTTGTTTACGTTTGGAACCAATTTCATACAAGAATGATCAGTAGGATAATTAAAGAGCACGTCCTCCCGCAGATCAAACGTACTTATCGTCGAGCAGCGAACTTTTCAGTCTCGGAGCACCTAATTTTACATGAAATATTTGTTTACGTCTCATCTTTTATGTCAAAGATGATGTATTCCGTCACGTGTAAAAACCTCTGATAAATTCTTCATGAACTTCTGCGCATTTAAAGATGTCACACGGCTTGGTTCTATGGAAGTGATAAATTGGCCACCTTTCCTGGGCTCCCGGAACCTGTTCAGAGACCAGCGGATGGCTAATGTTGCCCCGGACATGTTGGTTTGGCCTCTGATGAATTCTTCATGAAATTCTAAGAATTTAAAGATGTCGCTCGAATTGGATCTATTAAATGGCCACTGTTGTCCCGAATATGTTGACATGGCCTCTGATGAATTGTTCATGAAATGTTGAGGCACCACAAGGCTTGGTTCTATGGTAGTGATAAATTGTCAACAATTTTCGGTGCCTCCGGAACCTGTTCCGGGACCGCAAGGTGACCAATGGTGCATTAGACAGTTGACATAGCCTCTGATGAAATTTTTTTTATGAAATACTGTTAACTTTAAAGTGCCGTACGACTTGGACATGTTGGCGTGGTCTCTGATGAATTCTTCATGAAATTCTGCGAATTTTTAGGTGATGCACTAATTGGAACCTGATTCGAAACCACCAGATGGCCAATGTTGCTCTGGACGTGTTGATATGGCCTCTGATGAATTCTTCATGAAACTTTGAAAAAGTTTGAGGTGCCACACGACTTGGTTCTATGAAAATGATAATTTGGCCATATCTACGGTGCTTACGGAACCTGTTCCAGGACGACCTGGTGGCCAATGTCGAATTAGACACATAGTCTCTGATGAATTCTCTATGAAATTCTGTGTCGCACGAAAATTATAAATTGGCCACATTTACGGTGCCTACGGAACCTGCTCCGCGGCCACCGGATTCTGTTCCATAGTAACCTATTTTTTATGGACAGTACACATGGACAGAGGTGTACATTCTGAATGCAAGCATATTCAGCGTTTTGAAATGCAATACAGATGCATTTGAAATGTGAAAAAAGACCCGTACAAATAAGACCGAACCTTGATCATTCCGACACCGATTCTGGGTGGTCAATTCCGGCCAATCCTAGATTTGTCGCCGGATTCACAAAATTTAAGCCTTAGATAAAAGAATGGGTGCAAATTGTTGGGCCAAATCGAGGGGAGCGACTCTATCTAAGATGCAGGATTTTTTTTGCTTTGTTGTTGTGAGATGCGCACACGCTTAATAGATAGAAAGAAGATTGATGAAGATTTTGAAGATTTTCTGTAAAAATGTGGAGATCGATGCGAGTAGATGGATTTAGAAGCAAAAGATGAAACAAGATTTTTCGAAGATTGATTTGCTAGCGTGAGATTTTTTGACCATAAATCAGAAAGCGTTCCAGGGATATCCAAGAATATTTTCTGAACAATATCTGATCCGTTGATCAGGTTTTCTCTAATGTTCCTTAGTTAAAATGGAATTTTGGAAAAAATATTAATCTTTTTTTAAATCACCGGTAAGTTCTATTAGAAAGTGAATTTCAGTCAGGTACGTTGACCATGGTCGATCAGAAAGTTGTTAGGGGATATCTAATGATGGAATTTTCCAAACAGCACCATGCATCTCCGTAATAATTTAAGATTTTTATAGTTTTTGTTCACAATTAGTATATTTTTAAGGGATGCTATTAAAAATATCTGATTTTGGTCTTTAAATTGGGTATAATGCACTTAAGTATAATATTTTTCATATGAAATCGGGCTAAATTTTTTCGAATAATCCAATTTCGTGGTCAGAATTTATATATAAACTGGTTTAAAAAGTTTAGTATAAGCATTTCAGTGAAAATGAGAGGTACATAAAAACGTACCTCACATTTCCGTGGAAATCTGGTAGATCCACGCGGTCATTGCCGAAATCGTATGTCTATCAAGCGAGAATTTTTAAACCATTTACAATATAATCAATCCATTTCATCAATTATCATCATACAAATGTATAAGTACATTATTATCTATCTTTTGGTCAATATCAACCCAAATTACCCCATACTTACTATAGGAATCTACAGTATCCATAATACTTACCCATCAACAGTGCCGACCACACGGCCGTCACGCTGAACTGGTTCTCGATCAGCTTCGGCAGGAACACCGCAAAGCCCGATATGACCAGTCCCTCCGATGCCCCGGCCAGATTCAGGAAGAAAAACGTCGGATTCTTGAGCAGCGCTGCAAGGGCTCGGGGGATTTCCTTGATTTTCGTAAACGGTTGCTTCTGCTTGTCGGTGTCACCCCGGTGCGCTTCGGAAACCTTTTCCAACTTTTCCGAGCCGGGCAGCGTGCGGGGATAGGCCAGTATCGGTATCGCTAGCAGCAGACAGAAGGCAGCCATAAAAACGAATCCAATCCACCAGGCACCGACCCAAACCTTGCTGTGCGGCGTTAGACCGAGCCTGAAAGAGGGAGAAAGCAAAAATGCACGGAAAGTTAATAAATGGAATAGTTGAACAGGTATTATTCTGTGTGGGCGACGGGATGAATCCTTGTAAACGACAATTTAGAAGTTGTGCCTGATGCCCGTTACTGTAGTAACACTCCGCGGACCAAAGCCATTTGATGGAAATGCTAGTGAGTTGTTTGTTTGTTTATTTCGCAGAACAGAGGCGCAAAGCATCGTTGCTTGGGCATTGCGAGGATTCCTACGAGTTTGAAATTTGTTCCAAAGTCATAGTGAAAACATTTATACACGCGACAAAAAGTACTGCAGGACACAATCGACCAATTCGCGCCCTCTCTTGAGGTGGATTCAACCAACACTACACTTATGAAAAGAGCAGACAAACAAACGAACGTCCCGCAATGAAGCCCATTCATTGGAATCCACTTTTCCCATGCAGGATTACAAACGGATTACATATTTGAACATTTTTCGCATTTCCATTCGCGTCGCTTAAAAAAAACATACATTGCGAGGGTGCTCGAGAGTCAGTCGGCTGAATAGGGGATCATCATGTGTCATAATAGTGGACTGTGAAAATATAACTCGAATAATAAACAATAAATGGTTTTCGTGGGCAAAGGATGGGAATGAAAATCGAATAACCTACGTGGGGAAGTAAACTTTTCATGGTCTGGAAAATAACGTTTACTGTTGGAAACAAATGTACACACTTTTCTAGGTTGTGAATCTTTATTTGGATTGATTAAAGTTATAATATAACAATTATTCAAAAGCGATTTAATTATACTAAAACTTTCAATAATGTTTGGAATATTCTGTAGGTTGATCCACGAACCTTTGTCACTTCCTGAGTAGAAGGTTTGATCATCACCTAATTTCAATATAACATGCAATTACTGATATCAATGTTATACAACAATCCCCTTCCTTCACCCAACCAAACGGAAGCATCCCGAATATTCAACAGGAAATCTGCAAACAATCCCTCAGGCAGTTCAGGTCCCGATATTCATAGCACAGAATGCAATTTACACGTTTACCCTCTTATTATGCTTGGAAAACACGGAAACACGAGCATACAGGTTGTCGTTCAGTACTGTCCTGAGCCACAGAGAGGAAAAAAAAGCTAATATATTAGCAAAACCATCAGACGACGAGCTTCTGGCACTCGTCGTCGGTCCTGGCTTCAACCCTCCTGGCCCCAAATGTGCCACGCGAGCGCGGTCGATTGAGTCTGTCGTGTTGATTCACCCGGGGATCAACAGTCAGAACATTGGCACTTTTTTTCGCCTTCTGGCAGCACGTTCCCAACACCGCACCGGCCCGGAATGAGTTCTGCCTTCTTCCTATATTGCAACGGAGCCAAAACGAAAAAAAAAATCAGATCCATAGAGTCTTCCGCAAATATTTCCCATTTTTCTGCATTCCACGTAGGTACATTGTTGTGTGTCTTGGAACGTGTTCGTATGGAAGCGTTTCCCAAAAGAAGGACCCCGAAGAATTTCATGCTTCCGCCGGCCAACATCGGTCGTCTCCCAAGCCGTGCTTGGCGGATGTGCACTTTGTTGTGACTACATTATAAATATCTCATCACAGCACAATCAGCTAGCTGGTGATGTAGCTAGACGTAATCTTTACCACTAGGAATGTAGATACTGACGCCGCCGTTGTCGAAAGGTGTGTGAGTGGGGAGCATCCGAAAATGAAGTCGCTTGGGAAGTGAATATCTGAACATGTTAGCTGATCTTGATGAGATGAGCGAATGGTGCGCCATATTTTTTTTTTAAAGTGCATGAAGATATAAACCTGATCTTGACCAAGATTATGGAAACTATTTCAAGTCTGAACTGGAAATTGAAAAAAATCGTAAATTTTCCAAACTGTATTACGTAACCCAAGTAACAATTTAACAGCCTTTTGGCATTCACTCTGATTTATTGTGGTTTTAAAACGACAATTAAATACAGCATTTGACAGTACAAAGAAATTCTTAAAGAGTAGTTCAGCTTTATGCTGTTTTAAAAACCTTTTAAAGTCTTACGATAAAGTCAGAAAATGTCTGATTTAAAAAATAAATTTAATGCAGCAAAATGCCTCAAAACATCACATTCTTGTCCAAGTAGCAATTGAAGAGACTTTTGGCTTTCAGTCTAATTTATTACGGTTTTATAACGGCTATAAACAATCTTAGTAGTTTAAATATAGCATTTAATAGTGCACAACATTATTGGTTAGTAGTTCAACATTTTGCTGTTTTCAAAACCTTTTCATGTCTTACGATAGAGTCCAAATGATATCTGTTTGAATTTTGAGCAGCACTTTATAAAACGGTCATTATATCATTATTAAAAGCGGTTGTACAACCATTCGGTTCCGGGAGCAAAGAGCATATATTGTAGCTGTTTGGTGTCAATAAAGTGTATCACAAAACCAAAATAAAAGAGAAATAACAAATTATAGAAAAAAAAAAATTATAAATTCAAATTGATTTTATACGAGTTCTTAAAATAATATACCTCCATTGTTTTCATATTATTAAGAATACTATACGTCATTTTAAATGCCGTAACATTTTTTTGTCCCAAGCAGAGATATTAACATTTGAAACGAGCATATTTTTTGTAGAAATATGTCAATAACTCTTGATCGGCGAAAGATATCGACAAGATCTGTGGAGCAAAAAATTTGCGCCTTGAAAAGATCTAAAAGCTATTTGAAAACATCTTTGCTGAGAAATTTGAAATAAGGAAACTAGAGCAAAACAACCGTTTTTTTTAAGAGACACCCTAACTCAATTCAAGAAAATAACTCTAAATCGGTCAATTTAAGAGACACAAAAAAGTTCTCTCATATAAAGCTGCTTGAAACTAGCTCAACTATAACTTTGCCCAAGAATATATGCCCTAATTTCTTCAAACAAAAAAGTTAGATTTTTGATTTCAATGATAATTAGAACCACCCTAGAGTTTATTGACATGAAAATGATGGCTTAACTATAAGGAACAACTTTGTAGAAGATACTTTTAGTCTAAAGTTTCAATTTCAGGCTCAAAACATATCCTTCCACCTCGGAGGCGAACCAGCCTAAGGCTGAAAGCCTCCTAAATAAAGCTAAATTAATTAATTAATCCTTCCACCTAAATCTGCATTGTGGTCCACTGTGCACTGATTACAAATTAAACTAAAAGAATGAATCTGCCTAGAGACAGAGAAAGAATGGGTGGGGCTTGCAAACGTAGAATCACAAGGAAATGCCGAAAGATAGTCGAGTAATAATTCTATTGTGTTACCTGACTTATAACAAATATACGTTGTTTACAAGTACCGTAAAACGGAGTAACATTGATAGTTTTTTTTTTTAAGTATATTCTAAATATATTTTACAGCAATGAATGTTTTTCAAATTTTATATTTTTAAAACAAGTACTGAGGATCCAAGAGTAAACTCGTTAGTAATATGTTTAACAGAAATTAAAGCATTTATCCTATTGTTTTAGTTTTGTGACCGAACTTCAGTATTTTGATTTGGGGTTACTTTTGATAATGCTCGATGAATGTAGAAAAGAATGGGTGAAACTCAAACAATTTAGGTTTTAAAATATGAAAGTATAAATGAGTATATAATCAGAAAACCTCATAAGCAATAAGAATACAACATTGAATTTGTAATTTAAATCTTTATATTATACTATCAAAGTTACCCGCATTATCAAAGATACCCCGTTTTACGGTACCCCGAATACAACCTACCGTATGCGTGATAATGTTTGCACCATTAAGCAATGTCAAAATTAAAAAAAAATCTCAAAAATTTCGTATTCGAGTTTTTTTTTATTTATTCAAAGGGGGGAAGTTTCGCAAAGTCTTAAACTATGTTAATCATCGATCGAGTTTCCATTTGCTGCAATTACGGCCTCCACACGCTTCCGGAATGCACAGCAGGTTCTAATAGTGTAGTCTGGATCCATTTCTCTCCAGGTACGGGTCAATGTTTGTCTGAGGCTTGCTGTACTCGGGTGGCGTTTAGAATAGGCCTTGGCCTTCATGACGCACCATATTGAGTAATCCAGCGGATTAAGATCGGGCCGGATGGCGGCCACATATCCTTCGCCCAGAACGAAAGATGTTCCTGCAACCACTTCTGAGTGCGGTTCGAGGTGTGGCACGGAGCCCCTTCTTGTTGAAATACAACATTTGGCTTCGGACCGTACTGTTCTTTGATCCACGGAAGAACATACTTACTTAAAATCCCGCTGTAGACCTCCGTGTTGACCTTGTCGCCTTCTGGAATGAACACCGGGTTAACACCATAACGCTAGCAGGGTGCTTGGTCAGATATACGTTCTTGTGCTCGTCGGCCACGTCTTTTACCGGAAGAGAACTAATATACCGATCGGTTTTGGAATTTGATACGGGATCGACGGTAAACTTGCTCTCGTCGATGAACAAGATTACCGGATTTTTTCGCTTAAGGAAGTTCAAGATTTTCTTGCATCGTTCGACTCGTAGCTCCCGGTTGGCAATCATGTAAGTTTTTTTTTTCGTGCCCTCGACTTCGCCCCGCAATCTTCCTTTACGATCTTCCGTGCCGTAAAGTCACTGATCCAGTGTTCCTTTGCCATTTTCCTTATTGAACGCACTGGATTCACCCGCATCTTTCTTTTGATAACAGCGATAACCCTCGGAATCCGAGCTGACCTCGGACGACCTGTGGCCACTTTCGCGGATAGTTGTCCTTTCTTTTTTCGGTCTAAAACCCTTAAGGACGGTCCACCGGGACACATTTGCGCATGGGACAAATCACGAATACGCTGCCACTCGTCATGGTGCAACTGTCAAACTAAATAAAGCATTTTCTTTTATACACAGCCTACTACGGTATGAGCTATAGCTTACGTGCATGCAAAGAAAACCTAGCCATTGTATGCACAGGTGAAACGAGAACCTTATTTGTACGATGGTGCAAACATTATCACGCATACGGTATGACTCGTCTAATTTTGCATAGCATTTGCAATGTAAAATTAGACGAACTATACGTTGTATTCAAAGTATATTCGTTATAAGTCAGGTAACACAGTAGGGATAGTAGGAGGAATAAATCTAGCGATGCTGTGGACGGAAAGGAGAAGGAATCCAATATCTGAACTTATTGAGAGACTCAGCAGCTCCGAAAAAAACCGGTCATCAACTAAAAAGTAGACGACTGAGAAGAGTGAAGTGAATGCGGTTCGCGAAGTACTGAAAGCCTAGGGGCATTCCACTCTAAACTTTAGTTCTGATCAACCCTTGGGCAACTTGACAACTCCAGTATATTGCCAGTGTACCGTGTACCCCGACAATTTGGTGCTGGTGGTTCTGTCAATCTCACAAGGGTTACACGGTTAGAAAAAAGTACCCAAAATTAAGTTCTTTTCATTCATCTCGGCACTATAGTGCAGGAACCCCAAAGTAGGTAAAGCGGGTCAAAGTAATTTTCATTTACTTGTGTGCAGTTCGCATGGAATCTTCCACTAGCTTTTTAACCAAAAGTAAGTTAGTTGTACCCAACAGTAGGTAAATATGTTTATACCCAACCGTTTTTGATTACTGACTAGAAGCATTTTCATGCCAAATAGGAAAAAAAATGAATTTCATAATCGACCTTCTCCGATTTGAATTAAATTTTGCATAATTGTTTGTTATGGTCAATCATTAACATATGAGCTAAAATTCGGCCATTTTGAATCTCGCAACACAAATTCGGCGTATTCGATATTTTTCAACAAATCATAGCTCGAATATGTCACTTCCAATCGACATTACGTCTGAGACAAAGTTGTAGACAAAACTAATTCTTTTTCAGGATAAATAGGCACGGTAAAATTTGCTAAGTAATTTCGGGTAAAATATACAGAAACAATGATAACTCTCTTCAATATTTTAGGGGGTAGAGGACCCCTCTAATTCAGAGGATACTAAACTGTCTACTACTGCTGTTCAACACAAAACATCACAAGAATACAAACTACAGTTGAGCTTATTTTTTGTGCGTGATTAGAGTTAACCATAAACTTGTCCCCTACAGAAAATCAGCTCAATTGGTTGGAAGACAGCCGAGAAATTGTGGTGGGTGGACTGCACCACCCACCACACTATTCTGGGAATTCTTGTACCATGTTTCACAGTGCTCGATTATAAGGTAAGTTATTATTTAAATCCAAAATTTGAGCTGCACAATCCTTACGATGAAATCCATCTGTTACAGCAGTTTCGTAATACATGACTGCTCTCTCTGGCAACGAATTCCTGCACAGTGGGTGCTGTTGTTGTTTTCTACAACAAAAGACCCTCTCCCTGTTTATCTCACGCAGCATGGTGGTGCAGATTACGGTGGAAGCCCAGGCAAAAGCCTTTTCTAGTTTCCCTCTGCCATTCTTCTGCACGACCACACCATAGAGGTGCCGCTATTACTCATCATATTCATCATTTCTGTTGTTGGTGAGGAATAGCGACGACGACGACGACGACGACGACGACGCCGGTGAGCATAAAATAGCAACAACCGGAGCAGCAGCCAACGAAGACTGGGAAATACCCTTATTGAATCATTTTCCATATTATGCTGCAAATGTTACCGCAGGCAAAGTGCGTCGTTATCCTTCGCTGCGATTTAGTGTGATCCTTTCGCCCTCCCCCGCTCAACGAAGCTACGGAACAATTTCTTCTCAAATTGCCTCCGGAACCGACTTCGAGAAAGGTAGCTTACATCGTTGGCATCTTCATAGTCGTTGTCGTCATCGTCGTCGTCACACTCGATTAATGGATACATCCCAGAGATATTTTCACGCAATTTGAATTTATTAATATTAGATGAGCTGTGTACGTGCGTCTGGGAATGCAAATATTACCGAAACATACACCTTACTCGCTGGTGGTGGCCCAAAACTGGATGGGAGTGGAGGTGTGAATGAATGTCAACAATGCGGAAAATGGTTTATAAACAGATCAGTCAGTGTCGTTTTCGGTCTCCCATGTGCAAGTAGTTTGAGGCTGAGATGGATTGCAGTGTGGTTTTGAATAATTCAATGCTTTTTAGCAGAGGAAGTCATTTCGAGGGCCCGGCAGGGCAGGTACTTACGTTGAGGAATCCACGACGAACATGTCGGTGTAGAAGAGCAGTAGCTGACCACCAATAACGTAACCGGCAGCTGGACCAACGACGGCCATCGTGTAGTAGATGCCTGTGCGGAAGATGGGAGTAAAAATTTGGTTTTATTAAAATCACAGACTTTACAGGATGGGGAAAAGGGTGCATCGTAGCACATGTGTTGTTGAGACACAGGCAAATGCTCTGCTTAGCTGGATGGTAAACTGTTGGTGACAAAATGTCAAGAGGTTATGGAGCGCTACATAAATTTCAATCAAGTAGGTATTCATGGTGAAAAAAGGAAATGCTTTTTGGTCGTAGCTTCTGCTTTCGCGAAGAATAAATTATGGGTGAGAAAGACAATATGTTTGGGGACTAAATTATTGTCAAGACTATAAATTTCGAACCAATGTTAAATTTATTTAGAAGTAAAAAGCACGCTTGGATGTTAATGATTTGGAGTATATAAATGGCAAAGTATTTTCAATTAGTTTACACATTCAAAAGATATTATTAGATTGTGACCTAGTCTACTTAATTTCGAACAAATCCAAATTCTGAAAAGACAAACATTCCGTACCGGTTTCGAGAATGGTATGGAAGATTAAATTTCAGAGGTTCTGAAATTCTTTAAATTACATGAAATTTTTGAAATCACGAAAAGTCTCGGAACTCTCAAAAGCTGGAGTTTCAGAAACTGAAACTAGAGGTTAATCCGGTACATCGGTAACATACACAAAAAAACGCCCGCATTTCCAAGAACTCACAAACCACAGTACCAGATTTCTGAGAGCAACGACATTTCTTGCAATTTCCTAGAGAATATGTATTCCAGTAACTTGAGAAAAAACCAGAGTGGCTTGAACTCTTGAAACTCCAGAAAAAGTTTTAATAAATCCGAATCTTGTAAAATTCTTGGAGCTTCAACAACTCTTGATACTTCAGCAGCTCTTGAAATTGCGTGAGCTTCTGGCAATTCCTTGCACTAACATTTTTTCAGGAATTCGAAGAAATCTTGGCATTCAGAACACTTCCGAAACTTCCGGTACATTCAGAACTATCAAACTTAGCTGGAAATGCCGAACAATCAAAGAGTTCCAGGTGCCATTGTACGCAGTCAGAATAGCCGTAACTTTCGGAACCACAGAGACTTAAGGGACTAATTAAGTTCAATAATTTCAATAATACCGGGGAACCCCTAAAAACTTATACAATTTTTAGAACACTAGAGTGAGCTACGAGAGCTTCTCCCATAGTTGTTAAAACTCCAGGAACTTTGTGAGTCCTTAGAGCTTTCGGACAACTCCAGAGCTTCTGGATTTCCAACAAGCCTTAGGAACAACTCTGTGAGCTTCAAAAATTTTCAACAATAGAGATGTCTTGGAACATGCAGAACAGTAAATCGCTCAGAACCCATGAAAGTTCTGATACTCCAGCAAACTTTAGAAATCCTAAGAACATAAAAACAATCTGAAATACACACCAAAAAATTCTGAATTTTACTGGCGATGTAAACGTCCATGCATGCAAACATTCATACATGTAAACTTCCTTTTCACGTAAACTAGCAGCTTGCAAGAAATGTTGCAAACAAAAGTGGACAGTTGCGTACAATATATGGAATATTGCGTGACATGTTTCATAAATTTACACAATCTATAATTTAAACTTGTATGATATATGACGCTCCATTTATGTGCACCATAGTAACGGAAATTTACACTACTTTTTTTAGCTGTGTACTTAAGACTTTTCTACATATTAGTAAATCTAAGAACTTCAGGAGCTCCAGCAAACCTTAAAATTTGAAGAAATGCTGATGTTCTATCATTATTCTGAACTTGTACCTTACATAACCTATAGAATGCAGAACCACTAATAGCCAAAAGAGCTCATGTAACTTCAGGAACTTCTGAAACTCCACCAATCATTAACATTCCAGAAAGCTCCACGATAATTCAATACTTTGGTAACTATAATAATATCCAGCAATTCTTAATATCCAGCAAACCTTGGTAGTCATATAAATTTCGTGTATTTTTGACATTATGAGAACATAAAAATCATTTACAAAGCTTCAAAACTCACAGAACTCTTTAGCATTCGTGTATACTGTTGAAAACTTAATGAAATTTCAATGGTACTTCTAAAACTTTCAACACTTTCATGTTTTCGTTATCTTGTTACCGTCTTGGTTCCTGTACCCTATTGGTTCACTTCGAGCGAGAAAAATCAGGAGATAGCGAGAGCGAGGAATAGGGTATATGTGTGTTCATTGTGAATTCAATCTGTATGTCAGTTTCTTGTATGCAATATTGTCTTGTTTTTAATGTAAATATAATTAAATATGAAAGGCAAATGAAAGACCACTCCCAAACCAACGGTCCAATTAAATATTGTAACCCAGTCACACCAACAACACATAACACAGAACACATAACGGGAAGGAGTAAGGATGAAGGTGGGCGTTGGAAACAAGAGAAGGATATGGACAAGGGGTGGTGAAAAAGTGGGAGGGAGGTGGAAATGGGCTTAGGTCAAGGGAGAAGCTACTGGGTCAAACTGAAGAGAAGGTTCTCTTTCACTTTAGCCATTGCGCGAGATAGATCGATCTGCCAAGTTAAGTTTATTAAAAGTTCTGAAGAGAAGTGAAAAATATAGAGTCGCCAACAAATACCGGTGAAACTACCGAATACAGAGCCAGGTAGGACCCAATTAATACCCGGTAGCGGAATTCCCAGCCCTAAGACCACCTCTCATATTCCCCTCAGGACCCATTCATTACGGGCTAAACCACGAGGGCGTCCATTAACACGCCAACACCCGTGTAGCAAGCGTCCATCGGTAATACACCGACAACCACTGGGAGATCACCGTCGATCACCCGATCGAGCCCCAGTGCCACATCCGTCGTGCCACACGGTGACAACCGTCGAGCACCGGCATCCACTGGGAACAGTCCGTTCATCCGCCGCCGAAAAACCCCACCCGTTGCAGAATTCCGTCATCGCTGGCCAGCAATCTACACACCCACACTACAGACATAACAAGTGAGTGAGAGAATAAAGAGTAAAAGTGATAAAGAGGTGTTTTGTACGTTTGATCAGTGCCGACAAGCCAGGAGCCGACCTTGAAGCTCCAGGGTTTCAAGCTCGAGCTAGCCAACAAAAGAGGCGAGTGTAGCCCACCCCAGACGATCTCCGTGGCTAGACCAGAGGTTAGGGGAATCCCTTTAAACTAGCCCATCTGGCTAGCAATTAACAATCTTTACTGCCTATTATAGGCATATCAGTCCCATATGAAAAAGTAGGCATTGAGAAAATGCCAATCAAAGCTACGAACATGATCATTTGTTCAAGTTAAAATCAGTTGCAATGAAGCTAGCATGTATTCAGTCATTCCATAGCAAAACGATATAGTGGTTCTCAGAATTCCGTCAAAATTGGTAGTTTTGTTCCTTACCGCAAAATATTAGACCCGTATTTTTTTATGTTTTCATTAGGGCGACCATTCCCATGTTAGGGTGGTCCAACAAATCGATTTTTTTTTTCATAAACTGGGCCGATTTCAAAGCTCAAAATATCAAAATATATCTAAAAATACTTTTTAGAAAAAATATAATGATATAAGATTTTTTATTGGAAAACATTGATTGTACTTGTTTTTTTATTGTTTTCATGGCTTGTATGTAGAGGCCGCAACATATTTTTATATTTTTCCTTGAAAATTTATGCTTATTTTCACACATTAAATCACAAAATCAGCGATACGTCTTTTTTCGTTTTTGAGTTATATTTTTTTGAAGATATCAAGTTTTGGGTTTTCGCTCAATATTTCTATGCGACTAGACTACCATGCGTCTCCATCGATTTATAGTGAATGTAACATGGTCACGACGCATGGTAGTCTAGTCGCATAGAAATATTGAGCAAAAACCCAAAACATGATAACTTCAACAAAAAAAAAAAAAAAAAATAACTCAAAAACGAAAAAAAAAACACAAGTCTGTAAAATTCCTTTCTGCAAATACTTTCTGGAAATTATGCAATTTCCTTGAAGTAAATCTGACTGTCCTGAGGATATCTGATCTTCCCTGATGTTGACAAAGCTACCCTGAAGATCTCACAATCCTCCTGAAGTTCTTGGTACTGCCCTGAAATTAGTGGTTAGTTAGAGATTTTTCTTTATTTGGGAGGTTTTCAGTATTTGACTGGTTCACCTCTGTGAAACAAATGGAACTGTACTGAAAATCTTTAAACTCCCCTGAAAATCTTTGGAGTTCTCTAAAGTTTCCAAAATATGTCTTAAGTTTTCTAAATCATGTAAGAGATTTTTTTTAACGTAGGATTACATCTTTCGGCAACATATTGGGGGTGCAATTTCAAAAAACCAAAATTGACCGCATTACGAAAAGTGACCACATATAACTCTGTCAATAGCGGATGGATTTCAATTCAAAATAAGCCAATCGATTAGAAACTTAACTTCAAATCTGCTAAATTGAAAACTTTATTATTTTTCAATAGGCCACTACTAGAAATTACACAAATTTCCAACTATTGCAATAGTGATCAAAATTATCACCGATTGCCTGCAAACAGCGCATTCCCTAGCACAGATTTCAAAATCGAATTCGATCCTGTCTCCCTGAACGGCGCTTATTCAATCAACGTGTGTGGTGGTGTCCGGTTGGTCGTCAGCAGCAACAGCAGCAGTGCTTTCGGCGCGTGGCGCTGAACATTGTACACAACGAAAGGCTGCCCGCCAGCAGCGAGCTGCATCCCACATGAACGTCCATTCACCGAAGAAGGAGGAAGAAGCCTCACCAGTGGTGAGTCACCACTACTGATCGGAATCCATCTTCGTGAGTCGCTAAAGAGTTTTTTTTTTTACATTTTCAAGCTGAAAATTGCATTAGGTCCTAAGTAACATTGATCGATTCTCTTCGTTGACTTTCTCTTTCGTTAATAACTTGAGCACATAACCGTTTCTTTTTGTGTTTGTTGTAATAGATGCTAGATAAAAGCTTCTTTTATCGATCAGTGTGCTGAAAATACCTGGGAATGTCATGACATGCCCGTGGGGATACAAAGA